CACACCCATGTGCAGCAGCATTGTCCGCACCGACTCCACCACCGTCCTCATCTCCCGCTCCGCCATGCCGTTCTGCTGCGGGGTGTATGGGCAGTTCAGGTCGTGGACGATCCCCTTGCCGTTCACGAAGTCGGTGGACTGCTTCCCGAGGAACTCCCCTCCCCGGTCAGAACGCAGCATCAACACCGACTTCTTCGTCTGCCGCTCAGCCACCGCCAGCCACTGTACGAACGCCTGCAACGCATCGGACTTCTTGGCGACCGGCTTCACCCACACGTAGCGGGTCTTGCGGTCCTTCACCAGCAAGAAGTACAGGCTGCCGTCCTTGGCAGCCACACGAAACGGCCCGCACAGGTCAATGTGCACGACAGCGAGCACGTCGTCGGCGTCGGAGCCATGGTCGGGGAAGGTGTGTCGTGCCAGTTTCCCGCCGACGCACGAGACACACGGAGAGTCGGCGTCCGTCGCCGACTTCAGGTCCAGCCCAATGGCGACCTCGTTCTTCGCCGAGCTCCGTATGGTTTCCATGCCGACATGTGCAAGCCTCGCATGCATCCGGTCCGGCGTCGACTTTGTCTTCGGGACGATCGCCCGCAGAGCCACAACCTCCGTCGTGGGCAGCGTCGACCTCGTCGCGCAGGGACGCAGGTCGGTGCAGAGAACTCGCCCAGAATACGTCGCTCGACCAAGCACCTCCCCTGCTGCTGAGACGAGCAGCATGCCGTCTCCGTCCTCCTGCAACTTCACGCCGTGCTCCTTTAGCTGGCCGGCCAACAACAGGTTGGCTCGCACACCCGGGACGTACAACACGTCGGGGATGAGCACCTGCTTCCCGGCCTCTCCTTGCAGGGCGACGGTGCCGCAGCCCTGGACATCCTGCAGCGCCCCATTGAAGCCGCGCACATGCCTGATGGCGCCGCTCGGCTGCAGGTCGACGAAGACCTCCTTCGTCCCCATCAGGTGGTGGGAGCAACCACTGTCGAGCAGGACCACCGCCGGGTTCGCCTGCACAGCTGCCGCCACCGCCTGGTAGTCCTCTCCGGCCTCTGGTGCCAGAGAGATGGTTGGCTCCACGACGCCGACAAGCGAGCATGACGCCGTCTTGTCGTCTCGCCCCTTGCCGCCAGCAGAGGAGTCGGCGTCCTTCGCCGAAGTCGATGTCTTGGTCGACTGCTTCTCCTTGCGCGGCTGGTTTCCTCCACGAGGAGGACGACGGCTGCCAGACCTCCCACGGCCTCCCTTAGCATCGTCGTCGTCGGAGTCGCTGCGGTTGGGATTCTCGAAGGAGAGATGGTCGGGGTCGCCGCACAGCCAGCACTCCCGACGTCGACCTCCTCCTCCACGACCGCTGTCCTTGGTCAACTTCTTCTTGTCGACCTCCTTGGCCGGCTTCCAGCCACTGCTGCTACCACCGCCAGACTGCCCGCGCTGTCCCGGTCGGCCTCCTTGCTTCGCTGAGGTGACCAAGTTCGCCTGCGCCAAGAGCTCCTGCGACCGCTTAGCCTCCTGCATCGCCTCGTCCTGCAGGATATACGAGGTCAGGTTGTCCTCGTTGAGCGTCGCCCTTGTGCTCGGCGCCATGGACAGCCGCTTCAGTAGGTTGTAGCTGCTAGAGAGACCCTGCATGACATGGGTAATGTACGACGCCGTGGAGTACTGCGCGCCGGCCATCCTGATGGTGGCGAGAATCCGCCTGGCTCGGTTGCAGTAGTCGGTCGCACTCTCCTCGTCACCCATACGCAGGTGCGTCAGTTGTCCCTCCAGCTGGGCGATGAACAGGTCGTCGGTGACCTGGTACGTCGCCTCAATGAAGTGCCACGCCCAGTGGCCCGCGTCGATGTACTCCCGGCACCACTTCAAGGCGATCTGCACGCCCGGCGAGCAGCACCGCGAGATGACCGTGAAGGTCAACAGCTGCACGGCACGAAATTCCGCACGCAGATCGGGGTGGTGCTCCCCCGGCGTCGCCACGGTCCCTCGGGCGAAGCCGATCAGTCCGGCCATCTCCAGCTGGGGCTCGATGGCTTCCTTCCAGGTGAGAATGTCGGGTCGACCGACCAGCGGAGGGGTGACCGAGATCCTGTCTGGCGTAAACTTGAAGTAGCCGTAGCTCGGCGCAATCCCGCCCGCCGTCACCTGGGTCGCCGACATCGGCGACAGCCCACTTCGACGCCCACCCGCGTCGACATGCGAGGAGCCTGCAGCCGCCGACGACTGCATCCCTCGCGCCTGAACGCCGCCGACTTCACCGGCGTGTATCACACCTCGGTGCCTCGACGTGCCTCCCGCACTGCTGCCGACCTGACCTCCGCCGGCGTTGGCTCCCACGTCGACGCCGCCGTCGTTGTTCACCGGTCGAGGAGAGGCAGGTCGAGAAGGGGGGTGCTCCGCCGCCCACACGGAGCGGATTCCGGCTTCGACGACTGCCCAGGGTATCGCCCCATACTCCTGGGCCTCATGGCGTCTCCTCGCATCCTCCAGCCGTCCCTCCAGGGTGTCCATCACCTCGGCGTCGACTAAGCGCACGCTAGTGATTGCACGGCTGCCGATCTACGAACACGATCGGGATGTGCTAAGTCGGCTACACTGAACTACGTCGCGGTGTCGTCCACGCTCACCGCACCATGCGAAGATAACTACAGCAACGGGAGCTAGGCTGCGGGCTAGGCACGTGTGCTCGTGTGATCTCTGCGTTCTCTGTTCCTTAGTCGTTTTCCTTGTGCACACACTACTTGCTAGTTCACGGGGAAAATTGGCAAGAGTTTTACTAGGAAAAGTTCAGAACAACAATGGGTACAATGAAGTTGGCATAGCAAGACTACATCAGAGCAAGCATTCAGGTCGGCCAACTGCCAGCGCAGCTTGGTCGACCGCGTTCCAGCACGACTTGGTCGACCGCACTCCAGCAAGGCACGGTCGATGGCGTGCCAACGTTGCAGGACAGCAGTGCACCTGCTTCACAGGTGTGCGCAGATGATTGGCGTGTAGAGTCCTGTCATCTCTGATCCGCCACGACGACCTCGGGATACCACCACCGAGGTCGGTCTCGCCAAATTCGCCTGGGAGGCCGTCGCACTCCCAGGTAACCTAGTCGACCGGGCAACCATGTCGACCAGCAGCTCCCGTACGTGCCCGTCGACCTCCCAAGTCGACGACCACCTCCACGTCGACCTCCTCCAGGTCGACGCCCCCTCTGGTCGACCAACTTTACGTCGACCAGTACTCCTGGTCGACCTGTTCCTCGTCGACCAGCATAGTCGTTGGCCGACCACCCGCATCGGCCACCCCAAGTTGACGTCACCAAGTTGACGTCCTCCGCAGGTCGACTCCCAAGTCGACCTCCCTGAAGTCGGCGCCACCCTAAAGTCGGCGCCCGTGCAGTGGTCCCCCGTGGAGGTCGACCTCCTCGTCGACCAGCTCATCCACTGCTGTAGGTCGGCTGCTCCCCTCGCACCCGACCACGAAGTCGGCTCCGCCCAAGCGAGGACGGGGCCAATACCCAACTCCCGTTGACATCAACCTTGGCCGCCAATCCTGCCACCTCCCGCCCACAGCGTCTGTCGTGGATGGGTCGATGCAGGGCCGCGGCAGGCGCTGCTGGCGCTTGGAGCTGGCGCTGGTGGGTGTCACTGGCATTGGCGCTAGCACTGGCGCTAACACTGGCACTGGCACTGGCGCTGGCACTGGCTCTGGCACTGGCATTGGCGCTGGCACTGGCGCTAACACTGGCACTATCACTGGCACTGGCGCTGGCACTGGCGCTAACACTGGCACTGGCACTGGCACTGGTGCTGGCACTGGCACTGGCACTAGCACTGGCGCTGGCACTGGCTCTGGCACTGGCGCTACTCCAGAAGGTGCTGCAGTAGCGGTGTCAGTCAACGGACGATGAGGCAGCGCGACGGGACAGCCAACAGGCAGGTGACGTGGCAGTGCATCGGGGCAAGCTTCCGGGCAGTGCGCCGGAGCAGCAGGACGGGCAGGCAACAGGCCAATAGGGCTTGCCATCATGGTCGTCTCGACGGTCGCAGCGACAGGTACAGCGAGCGAGCAACACGTCATCAGAAGGGGCGCCACGATGGCTGATAAATATTAGGCCTCTGGACGTATGGCCTCCCGCCCAACCACCCTTGGGGGGCTTGACATGGCTGACCCGGCCACAGAAGGCCCCTTATGTTGCCTCACCCCACCTCAATAGTGACAGCAGCAAGCCTCCTAGTCAACCTCCTGGAACGCCCACAGGCGTCCATGGCTCTCCTCCTCGCCCATCTCCAGCCACAGGCCCTTGGCCAAGCCTCATAACAGCACAGCCTTTCTGCTGTTTAGGTCGGTTTACCCTCAGGAATCATCGTATCTCATACATGAATCAGAAGCGACCTTCAGGACGTAGAGAAAGTACAAGAAAATGCTGCACGACAGCTAGATACCTTGCCAGAGACCTCCCCGAAGGGACTGAGGAGAATTGGCATCCACCACCACCTCCACGACAGGCGTTGCTGCAAGGTGATTGGTTAGGGAGTTACCATCATAAGGAGACAAACCAGTTTACCTCTGTGGCGAACACATTTGCAGAAAGCTCCAGTCCATACGGCACCCCCTCACTCCGGAGCAGTCTCCCTATGCGGCTTTAACCGTCACCAACCCGTCACAAGACACGCTCACTGGAAAGAAAACCCATGGGGTGCCACTAGAGCAGCCCAATCCAAAGAGAGCCCGCACCGCTCCTCTGTCCGCACGAGGTTGGTGGGTTTCATTGCCCCTCCCCGCCCCTGTCACTGTTGCCAGTGCTGCCGCAGCCACCGCCGCCGCCGCAGCAGCAGCTGCAGTAGTGGTAGTAGCAACAAGCGCCAGAGCTGCAGCCACTGCTGCCGCCACCACAGTAACAGTCACATCCCATAGCAACGCCTCTCCCGCGAGCCTTGGAAGGGCAGGGACCCTTCTCATCCCAGTCCCTGCGCGTGCCGCTAGTAGCACGCGTGTTCCAGCTTGCAGCCAAGCACATGCTCAGGCACAGGCGTGCATATGACGATGCACGCTTATCTCTGGATACGTTTGGGCTGGCGGCGCTGGGAGGGGACGGAGGCGGGGTGGGAGGGGTGCAGGCGGGGGCGTTTGGAGAGGTTGGAGTGAGTGTGGATGGGTTGGTGGATGTGCTGGCAGAGGGGAATTCGGGGGTGGAGGAGCTGTTGTATGTAAGGCAGGCATGCCGGCTGGTGTTCTACGGACAGGCGCCGCACGAGCTGCGGTAAGAGTTCTGCTGGGAGGGGTTTGAGGTTGATGTGTGGCCGCGTGGGGTATGGTGTGTGGTGTTCTGAGAGTGGTGGGTGGAGTGTGGTGTGGCATGGTGTGTGGTGTGCAGTGTACGGTGCAGGGGGTAGGGCGCAGGGGGTGGGCGCGTGGTGCATGATGCACACATTTAGTTGCTCCTTTTCAGGTGCCTCTCTTACCCGTCTCCCTTCCTTGTCCCTCCATTGTCGTCAGCATCGTCTATCCTCCTCCCCCACACCCTCTCACCGACTCCCTGTCGCTCACAATCTGCTTCCATCCCACCTGCAGCCCCACCCGATTTCGCACCCGTATCCCTCCCCCCCCCCCCCCCCCTCAACCCCACGAACCAGGAGGTTGATGCATGAGGTGGTACGACAGCAGTCGGAGCACCTGTCAGGGGCCGGCATGTCTCCCCCTTCACTGCACCATTCCCCCCCACCACCCCCCCTCCCTCCCTCCCCACCACCCCCCCTTTCCCTCCCCCCCCACCAACCCCCCTTTCCTCTCCCCCCACCATCCCCCCTTCCCTCCCCTCCCACCAACCCCCTCCCTCCCCCACCTGTATCTCCCAAACCAGCCCTACAGGCCAAGAGGTGTTGCTGCACGAGGTGGTGCGGCATCGGTGAGGGCACCTGTCAGGGGCGGTCATTCTGCTGTGCGCCAAGGTTCACGACCTGTACCGCGGCATTCATGCCCAGCGCATGATGGCACAGGTGGGGTGGGCAGGATTGTTGAGTGGGCTGTGAGTGGTGGGAAGAGGGGTGGGTGCTGAAACAGGGGCAGCCAAGGCTCACGACCTGTACCACGACATTCATGCCCAATGCATGATGACAAAGGTGGGGAGTGGGGGAGATGATGGGACGCATGGTAGGGTGGGTAGTGAGGGGATGTGGGATGGGACGAGGGTAGCCAAGGCACACGATCTATACTGCGGCATTCATGCCCAGCGCATAATGGCACAGGTGGGGCTATGGGTGGGGGATGGGACGAGGGCAGCCAAGGTGTAGACCTATACCACTGCATTCACACGCAACGCATGATGGCACAGGTGGGATTTGAGGGGAGGGTGGGGCGTGGTTGGGTGGGAGGGAGAGGAGGGCGTTTTTGAGTGGGTGGTGGGACGGGTGGTGTGGGTGGGATAGGGTTGCGTGTGTAATGAGGGCATCCATGCAGAGTACATATGCTGCAGTGAGAAGGGTTGGGGGTGGGGGGGGGGGGGGGAGGGAAGAGAGACAAGGTGGAAGGGGCATGGTTGGGTGGGCGGGTGGTGGGTGGGCAGTGGAAGAGGGATTGAGGATTGGCCCAGAGGTTAGTGAATGGGTGGTGGGACAGGAGCAACAGCCAGGACACAAGTGTATTGTGGCATGCACGCCCAGCGCGTGAGGGTGGGGAGGGGGGGAGATGATGGGGCGCATGGCTGGTTGGGTGTTTAGCGGTGGGGTTGGGGGTGGGGGAATGGGACGAGGCCAGCCATGTCACATCTGTACCATGGCATGCACGCCCAGCACATGATGGTGCATGTGAGGGTGAAAGGGGAGGGAGTGTACGATTGGAGGGCATGGTTGGGTGGGCGGTGGGCGTGGCAGGGAAGGGGGGGAGTGGCGCAAAGCCGCACCACCATCCCAACACCAATCTGCTAAGGCCACACCACATCCTGTTGCAGGGTGTTTCTGAGAATTCTAAAAAACACCCTGCAACATCTGCTAACACCACATCACACCACGTTACACCACATCACACCACATCGCATCCTCCTTCTCCACCCCGTCCCCTTCATCTCCCCCTCATCCATTCCCTCCTTTCTGCCCACTCCAAATGGCAAAGACATGGCACGCAAGTAGCTATGTTCTCGTGCCATGACACGACTACCACCCCAACGCGAAGCTGCTGCGACACTGCATGCTCACCTCGTTCCTCGCCCTCCCTCCCGCCATGTCTCCCCTCCCAAAGGTGTCATGCGACATGGCACGTGAGTGCCTCTGCATGCACGGCTGCCCCAATGCTAAGCTCCTGTTACACCACATCCTCACCCTTTTCTCTGCCTCCCTCCCGCCCTGTCTCCTCCCCACCCAAAGGTCTCATGTGACATGGCACAGGAGTATATGTGCATGCATGACTACCCCAACGCCAAGCTGCTCTTAGACGCCATCACACAGCTCTAACGCCGAGACTCCTTCCCCTCCCTGCTTGCTTTCTGCCTCCTCAACCTCCGCTCCAGCGCGCGCCACCTCTCCCTCCTCCCCGACTTCCTGTTGTACTCTCTCGAGCTCTGCTCTCTCCCCGCGCTCCCCTCCCCGCCCGCGTCCTCTGCTTCCCCCTCCGTGGTTGCCCTTCTTGCTACGTCTGCATCCCTGCCCCTGTCTAGCTGGATGGATCCGGGGGCGGGGGAAGTGGGAGGCAGAGCAGGGGGCGTGGGGGATGTGTACGAGGGGGGTGTGGGGGGGATCGTGGCTGTGGGCGGGAGAGTGGGGGAGTGGGAGAAAAGTGCCATTGCACAGGAGCTCCTGCGGGTGCTGAGAGTGGGACGAGGGGGAGAGGCGAGCGAGCGAAGGCGGAGGAAGCAAGTTCACCAGAGCTTCAGAGTCATGGAAAGGAGGAGGGGAAGGTGGAGGGGAGGACAGCGCGAGCAGCTGGGCCAGCAGCGTGACTGCATCTGCAGGAGGGGAGGAAGCAGCGAAAACAGGAGCAGCAGCAGCGGCCCTGAGAGTGGGGTCCGCCCACCCGTTTCTCCTCTTCACACAGACCTACCCCACATGCGTGCAGTTCTCTCTGCTAGTGTCGCCTTCCCCCCTTGCCCCGCGCACCCCCCCTCTCCGCCGCGTATGGGGCAGCCCCTGCAGGTGTGCGTGTCCCTCCTCACGCACTTCCCTATCCCCTGCACCTGTAGCGCGTGCTGGTGCGGTTCAGCCAATCCTGCTGCGACACGTGGATTCCAAGCTGTGGGGAGCGGGAGGAGAGGGTGGGCGGGCATGGGGGGAAGGAGGGGGAGGGGAAGGGGGAGGGGGGGGGGATGCGGACGGGCTGGTGCTGGAGCCTGGTGTGTGGAAGCGACTCTCCTTGACCATCACTCCAGGTAGCTGTAGTGGTGGTGGTGGTGATAATGTTGCTCATGATGGTTTCTGTTGCTGGTGGTGGTGATGGCAGCCAGGCCACTCACACATTAATGAGTGGCAGGATTGAGAAATTTTCTTGTCAGCTACAGATGAATTAGCAGGGTGCGTTGAGCGGCATGAGTTCCATTCGTTCTTGTCTCCTCCTTTCCACTTGTCGTTTCTTGTCTCCTCTGCCCTGCTCTTTTTGCCTCTCCTTCCCCTCATCCTCTCTTCTCTTGTCGCGTTTCCCCTCCTCTCCTCTCGCCTTACCTCCTCTCCTCCGGCCTCCCCTCCTTTCGTCCTCTCTCCTCTTCTCACTTCTTCTCTCCTCCCCACTCGCCCCCTCACCTCCCCTCATGTGTCCTCTCGTCCGTCTCGTCTCTTCTTGTCTCCTCTCCTCTCATCTCCGCTCCACAGCTCTCCTCTCCCCCTCTCCTCTCTTCTTCTCACCTCTCCTCTCCTTTCCTCCCCTCTCCTCCCCTCCTCCCCCCTCTCCCATCCCTTCCTCCCATCCCTCCTCTCCTCTCCTCCACCCTGTTTACCATCACACCTACCAACCCCTCCTTCTACCCCCCTCCCCCCCTCTCCACACGCCATCCTCTCCTGCCCCATCGACAGCCCGCAAGCAGCAGGCCTCGTGACCTTCTGGGTCTTCGAAGCCCCGTCTCCCTCACCATTCGAAGACTCGTCCCTCTCTGTGGTGGGCCAAAAGGCTGTGGAGATAGCAGACGAGGCTCCTTTAGTGTGCGGCAGATGGGGGTCTGGTGGGGGAGCCGCCGCCTGTGCGTGTGTGGGTGCGGTCTTTAGGACACGCATTGTGGTCTGCTTCGCTGTCGCTTGTGCTGTCCGCTGCTGCTGCCGCCGCTGGTGCTGCTGGTGGTACTGCTGCTGGTGCTGGTGGTGGTGCCTCTGGTTCTACCTCTACCTCCCCTCTAGCAGCATCGTCCCCTCCTGCCTCTCCTGCTGCTTGGCCCACCCCCCATGCACCCTCTAACAACCCCTCTTCCACCACCACCACCACTATCACCAGCACGAGCAACACCACTACCAGCAGTGGCGCCACGAGCACCACCAGCAGCAACAGCAGCAGCACAGGCAAGGAAGGCCCAGGTGTTTAATCTCAAAGCATCCCTTCCATCACCCATCTGCCTGCCTTTGAACCCCCTCCTCTCCCGGGGTATCTGCCCATCCTGCTTGCCAGCATGAGTGCAGGGGACGCGTATGCAGTTCTGGGGGAAGGCAGTGCGGGGAGAGACGAGGGGGTGGAGACAGAGGTGCATGGGACTGCTGTCCTTGCGGAGATTCTATTGCCGTGGGGGGAGCAGGGGGGAGCGGCAGGGCAGGGGCCGGGGTTGGGGGATGGGGAGACAAGAAGGGGCGTGGGAGAGGGGGATGAAGGAGGGAATCAGAGCGAGGGAAGAGAGAGCAACGAGCAGTAGCAACAGCAGCAGCAGCAGCAGCAATAGCAGCAGCAACTGCAGCTGGTGGCATTGAGAGGAGACATTAAGGTGCCTATGGTGGAACCCCATGGGTCATGGAGCACTGTGGTGTTTGTTCGATGGAAGGCCGCCATTCCCATTAGCTTCATTGCCACTCTCTCCTACTCCTCCTCCCCTCCTCCGGCTGCTGCTGCTGCTTCCACCCAAGCCACGCAGGCTCAGGGGAGTGTGAGAGAGGAGGCTGTTGCTGCTGTTCCTGTCGATGCCACTGCTGTTGGGGATGCAGGTGAAGCAGGGGAATGTGCAAGTGCAGCAGCCACAGCAGACCCAATAGCAGCAACAGCAGGGGGAGGAACAGTAGCAAGGGGAGGAACATCAGTAGGCGCAGGAGCAGTGGAAGGTGTGGTGAGCAGTGAGAGCGCAGTGAGCAGCAGCAGCAAGAGCACCAAGGCACCTTTCCAGGTGTCAAGATCTCAGGACCTGCGCTGCCAAGAAGCCCTCTTAGTGGTCCATCGCTACATTGGCCCCTTTCGAAAAGACTCCCTCATCCCCATCTTCCACGAGCCTCCACCCCCACCACCTGTGCTTCCTCTACTCCCACCACCCCGCTCCCATTGTCCGCCCCATCTGCTCTCTCAGGGGCAGCAGCAGCAGGAGGAGGAGCAGAGGCGGCACCGGCAGCAGCTATAGCGGTGCATGAAACGTGTGTGGTGGCGGTGGTGGTGCGAAACACAGCGTGCACGGCTCTGCGGCTACTGGCAGTGCGGGTGCAGCAGCAGCAGCAGGGGGATGACTCCGCATGCCTCGTCCGGCCAGTGTCCATGCGTCCCCGTGCATCTGCTGCTCTTGCTGCTGGTGGTGGTGCCATTTCAAACGCAGATGAGGGGAGAGATGGTGACAGGAGCAGTGCAGGTGTGGAGGGCAGTGGAGAAGGAGAAGGGGGAGAGCCAATGCCGTCAGAATCACCAGAGCAGTCAGAGGCGTGTGATTCAGATCTGCCGCTGGTGCTGGGTCAAGGCGAGCCCTTCACCCAACTCTTCCATGTCACGCCACGTATTGTCTCGCCCTCCCTTGTCATCAGCTCGCTGCTCCTCTCGTGGCAGTGCCACGCAGCCCAGGGCAATACCAGCAACGAGTTCCACAGTCATGGCTAGTCAGTCCTGCAAATGCCTGCAGGCATGGCAAATGCCTACGAGAAAGATCTGGCAAGCGGATTGGGCATCAAGCTTGCAGGCTCTGACTCTGTCGCACTAACTCTAGACTCTGCAGCCCTAACCGATCAGCCACATCAACAGGCAGCCCAGACTCTGACCCTTGCAACCTCGTTTCTCCCACAGCTCTCCCCAACCGTCTCATCTCTCCGGCCGTTCCCACCCGTTCTTGCCGCCAACCCGATTCTCGTCGCATCGCTACACCTACCACCATTCACGATTGTGGGGTCGCCCTTCTCCTTCTCTATCCGCCTCTCTAACTGCACCACCTCGCTACAAGAGGTGGTGTATCAGTTGCAGGACGCCCCAGCTTTGTCTTTGCAGGTCAGCACAGCTGCTCGGTCGCAGTGCTCCCCCGAGCCTCTCTGCGCCTCTCCTTTCGCCTGGTCGCGGTGGCATCTAGTATGCTGCAGCTGCCGCTCATTCGGCTTCTGGCTCCCTGCCTTGCTGCCAAGCTCTACCCCTGCCTGCACAAGTCACGGCTGTTTGTCTTCCCCTGTGCCGCTGTTGTGCATGTTGCTGTTGCATCTGCTGCTGCTGCTGCTGCATCTGCTGCTGCTCCTGCTGCTGCTGCTGCTGCTGCCGCCGCCGCCGCCGCTGCTGCCGCTGCTGCTGCTGCTGCTGCTGCTGCTGCTGCTGCTGCTCCTGCTGCTCCTGCTGCTGCTGCTGCTGCTGCTGCTGCTGCTGCTGCTGCTGCTGCTGTTGCTGCTGCTGCTGCTGCTGCTGCTGCTGCCCTTTTGTAACAAAGGGCGCCCTTTTGTTACAACAATCCTGAATGACAAGCAAGGGGAGGTTGGGGTGCCAGTTTGGTTGCGTACGTGCTTGTGCTGTCGGGCTCTGCACTGAAAGGTGGGTGTGTGCGGTTGTAGGCGTAACTTGTAAGGTAGGAGGCAACACCGCACTGATAGGTCTTCGAAGGTTGCACAACTAGAGGTGAATTTTCAAATGTAGGTGATTTTTATTGAGGTATGGGAGTATGTTGTGAGAAAATATGAACGAGAATGAAATGACTATGAACGAAGTGAGTACAAATAGGAAACCCTAATTGGGTTGTACCCCCTATGGGATACCCCACTATAGCCTACACAAATAAGTAAGCTATAATGTTCTGACACACCCCCATAGGCAAAGTGGGGGAGAGCAAAGGGTCACAAGACCAGTCAAGCAAAGCAAAGCAAAGCTCAGGGTGGATCACAAAGTCACCACGCATTCCGAGCACAAGTTCAAAGGCCACAAGGCCAGTTCACATGCAAGATCATATATAGAGATATACAAGAGTCAAGCAAGCAAGAGCAAGAGTATATATAGGCGAAGGTACAAGCAAGGTCAAGAGGAGAGCAAGTGAGGCAAGACAGGCACAAGACCCAACTGCGTGCAACAACGCTGATGATCACAAGGCGCAAGTGCCTTGGTGAAGACATCAGCAGTGTTGGCCTCAGAGGCCACGTACGCAAGTCGCAACTGTCCACGCTGCTGTAGCTCACGAGCAAGAAAGTAGCGGAGAGCAATGTGCTTCGTTCTGTGCTCCAGTCGCTGCTCTCGACACAAGGCCAGCATGGCCTTGTTGTCTACGTACAGGACTGGAGGAGAACGAGGCTGCTCTCCAAGGTCGGTCAGCAGGTAGGTGAGCCAGCGTAACTCCTGTGCAGCCATAGCCCCAGCGTAGATCTCAGCCTCACAACTGGAGCCGAGAACAGAAGACGAGCGGGTAGCCCGCCACGAAACAGAGCCGGAACCAAGGCTGAAGGTGTAACCCTGTGACGACCGCTGAGTAGCCTGGTCGTCAGCCCAAGAAGCGTCTGCGTGCCCAGTGAGGACCACTGGACTGCGCCCTCCAAGCACTAGCCCCATGCCCGACGTACTGCACAAGTAGCGCAACACCCTCTTCGCTGCAGCCATGTGCTCTGGTCGGTGTCTCCCAGGAGCAACATAGTGTGCGAGAATGCTAAGAGGGTATGCAAGGTCAGGTCGTGTGCAGGTCATCAGGTACATGAGGCAGCCAACAAGCTCTGCAAACGGGCCACTCGACTCTACGGACTCATCCGAAGGCAGAGCTGAGAGCGAGTGGCGAGTAGGCAGAGGAGTGGCCTGAGGCGAGGAGTACGTGAAGCCGAAGCGCTGAAGGACCTGCTGCACCATGTGTGACTGAGTCAGGGTAATGGTGCGGCGTGCTCTGTCCCGGGTGATCTGCAAGCCAAGGTAGCTGCGCAGTTCACCCAGGTCAGTGCACGTGTGTCTCTTCTGCAGCTCGGACTTCACATAGGCGAGTCCAGCAGTGTCAGCTGTGGCAAAGACCAAGTCGTCGACGTACACGAGGATGTAGAACGGCGGCAGCGAGGTGTCGGTGCGCAGAAACAGCGACGGGTCGGCAGTAGAAGGAGCAAACCCAAGTGCCGCGAGCGTAGTCCTCTGTGTGTCGTGCCACTCACGTGGCGCCTGGCGGAGACCGTAGACTAGACGCCGGAGACTCCACTGGGTACCAGGAGGGAAAGACCCAGTGAAGCCAGGTGGACGACGCAGCCAGATCTCCTCGTGCAGGCTGCCCTGCAAGAAAGCGGTGCTGAAGTCGAGAGAGTGGAGCTCGTAGTCACGGTGAGCAGCAACGTGCAGTAGAACCCGAAGAGTGGTCATCTTCGGGGTGGGGGAGAAGGTCTGAAAGTAGTCAACCCCCTGCCGCTGACTGAAGCCACGAGCCACGTAACGCGCCTTGAAGACAGGCGGAGAACCCGGCGGCCGCTTCACCCTGAAAATCCACATGCCACTGACTATGTTCGCCCCAGGAGGGGGAACAGCGTCAACGTAGGTGCCTGTGGACTTCCAGGAAGCCATCTCTGCATCCATAGCTGCCTGCCACTGAGAGGAGTAGGGACCCTCTATCGCCTCCGCGTAAGAGCGCGGAGTCGGGATGTCTGGTGCATCCGGGTCTCCCTCAGGGGCTAGCAGTACAGACGCGAGATGAGGTGAAGCGGCGGCCAGACACTGGAACTCCTCCTGCCTGTCCTCAAGGACGTCCGTGCCAAGGGCACACTCACCCCCGACGGACGGAGGACAGGCAGACTCAGACTCAGCGACAAGACTGGCAGCGTAGTCTAGACGACAGCGCGCAGCAAAGTCGACAAGCTCAGTGACAAGGGCAGACGCAGCAGACGACTCGAAGGAAGGGTCAGTGACAGCAGTAGCAAGGAGACGCGTGACAGTAGGACTGGCAGCACGAAGAGAGTCCGACTCCGGGTCGGCAAGAGCAGGAAGGGAGGAAGCAGGAGGAGAAGGCAAATGGGCACGCAGAGGAGCAGTGGACGGACGCAGTGACATCCGGTGCGTGCCAGGGACAGGAGGAGGACGCTGACGCGACCCGCGACCACTAGCGCGCGCAGTACGAACAAGCGACGCAGGACGAGACGCAGGCTCACGACGCTCAGTAAGACCTCCAGTCGGACCAGCGTAGGGAGAAGGAGCAGGCAAAGGGGAGGCAGGCTGTAGCGGTGGCTGTGACTGGACAGGCCGCGGACCCTCTAAGGGAGGAGGAGGAGGACCAGGAGAAGGTGTAAGACCAAGAACCTGCTGCAGGAGCGGAACGAAGTACGGTCGGGGCCGCGCGGCGACGCCAGAAACAGCAGGGACAGCACCAGTACCCCCAGCAGGAGTACTCGCTCCAGCAGCACCTCCAGCAGCACCTCCAGTAGCTCCAGAACCGCCAGCAGCACCACCAGGAGCACTGCCAGGCGGACCGCCAGCGGCAGTCCCAGTGCCAACACCCTCAGCAGCACCAGCTCCAGGAGAACCCTCAGACCCGGCAGCTCCAGTACTCCCAAGACGAGCACCTCCGGGACCCGCGGCAGTGGCACCCTCTGCAGGCGAAGAAGCTCCAGCACGAGCAGCACGCCTCCAGCGCCTGGCAAACCACTCACGCAGCTCCTGTGGGGAGAGTGGCTCACGGCGAGACGAAGCACCTCCAGGCACAGCACCCCCAGGCACAGCACCCCCAAGCTCAGCACCCCCAGGCTCAGCACCCCCATGCTCAGCACCCCCAGGCTCAGCACCCCCAGACTCCGCACCCCCAGGCTCAGCACCCCCAGGCCCAGCACCCCCAGGCTCAGCACCCCCAGACTCCGCACCCCCAGACTCCGCACCCTCAGGCTCAGCACCATCCGGCTCAGCACCCCCAGGCTCAGTACCCCCAGGCTCAGCACCCGCAGCAGCACCAGAGTCACCAGTGACCTCGACAGGCTCGACCGCGTCTACCTGGGACACACCTGAAGGGGCAGGACCCTGAGGGGGGAGGGGGTCTACCGGGGGGGGACCTGGTACCAAGAAGAGCGGGGGTGGGGGAAGGGACGGAGTGCGGTAGGGGAAGAGGCGGTAGTAGGGTACCGACTCGTCGAACGTGACGTCCTGGGAGGACAGAACACGTCGAGAGGTGGGGTGGTAGAACTGCCACCCAGGGGCGTCGGGGGGGACCCCCAGGAAGACGCAGGGAGAAGCGCGAGGGGACAGCTTGTCCGCAGACAGGTCGCGGACAAACGCCCGAGATCCCCAGACCCGGAACGCCGATGCATCGCCAACCTTCCCCGTCCACAGCAAGGCTGGGGAGGTCTCCGGCCTGGAGACCCTGGGGTGGAGGTTGATCTGATGCCCTGCGTACCTGACCGCAAACGGCCACAGAAAATGGGGGGCAGCCGCATGCATCATGGACGTACGGGCGACGTCCATGACCATGCCAATGCGGCGCTCAGGAATCCCATTTTTCTGCGGAGAGTCCGGAAGCGTGAAGGACTGGCGGATGCCTCGCGCACGACAGTAGGCACGTAGAAGGGCAGAGGAGAACTCTCCGCCTCTGTCCGAGTGCAGACGCAACACAGGAAAGTCGGAGCCAAAGCTCTGCCTGAGCTGAAGACGAGCTGCGCGGATCCAGTCGATCAGCACCTCAGTGACCTCACCCTTGCTGCGCAAGGGGAAGACTGTGGTGTAACGCAAGTAGTCGTCAACAACGAGCAGGAAGTAGCGCTCCTGACCCTGTCCACGGACGCGGGCTGGGCCCCACACGTCCATGTGAAGCGTCTGCAACGGGGCCTCTGTCGGAGGAAACTGGGAGGAGTGAGGGGCAGCACGCTGGCGCCCCTCGACACAGGGGACACAGGCAGGGCCAGGGCCCTGAGGAAGGGGAGGGAGGGACCGGGGAAGACCAGACACAAGAAGACGGGAGGCCATACCTCTGAGCCGAAGCAGAGAGGGGTGGCCAAGGCGGTGGTGCCAGAGGAGGGTCTCGTGAGACAGACGACGACACGAACAGGGGGCAGACTCAGGGCCAGACCTGGACGCTGCAGCAAACACCTGACCAGACGAAGGGACCCTACCAGACTCAGTACCTGGAGGAGAAGCAGTGGTCAGTGTGTACAGGCTCGACCCCGGCCGATGTGTAAACGTAGCCAGGTGGCGACCTGTGCTAGCCTCCGTGCAGTGTGTCACCCGCTGACGAGCAGGAGTGAACTGGTGGACACCCGCATCCTGTAGGTCAGCACCACTCACCAGGTTCGTCGAGAACGAGGGGAGGTAGAGACCAGACAGGGTGCCAGAGGGGGCCGCCGGACACGGAAGGACCGTGGAGAAGCGAGACAGGACAGGCCCCCCAGAGGGGTCAGCCAGGGACACCGCAACCAGCCGACTCAGCGGTGTGAGAGTGGTGCGGTCCCGAAAGAAGGAGCGAGACGCTCCAGAGTCAAGGGTGAAGGTGTGAGAGGCCGAA